ATATTAGTTATTTATTGTGTATTAATTCATTTGTTCTTATTAAATTTTTTCTTTCCCTCAACAGTGAGCGGTGGGCCGCCTTTTAGGCGGCCACTTTAGCTTGTTTAATTTAAAAAAACGTCACCAACGAAAAAAAAACCCACTTTCCTTACTTATTCAACATTTATCAAACAGATCATCAATAACTGTGTTAACTGCCAACCCCCATCCCCCCTTCAACATCTGTAATAGACACACAGACACATTACACCAATTTATATTCCCCCACCTCCCCCCACCCCCCCTTTCCAATCCACTTCCAACAAGCAATAGACTTTCGCCCATTTGAACACACACACGCGCACCCCACCAATATTACAACATCATGGTAGCATTATCATTATTCAATAATAATAATAACAATAATAATACCAATACCTCTAACTCGACAACTCATGTTGATGTTAATGAAGATATTTCAACGACAACTGAAGAAGATTTATCAGGAAATGTCACAATTTATGAAAGTATTCTTAGACCTCCTTCAAGATCAAATAATACTAATAATAGGAGTCGTTCAATTTCATTAACTAAATTCTTTTTTCATAAAGATCATCTGGAGAATACTACTACTGGTAATGACAATAACATTGACGATTCTCCTGGAAATTCATCTCATTCAACATCTTCAATTAGTGGTCAAAGTACTCCGTATCATCCACCGGAGCCACCACGTTCTTCTTCTCAAGAAGATGACATTAAAACAAACAGCAGTTTATTGAAATTGAAGAATATGTTTAAATTACAATCAAGCCCTTCGGTATTTGATTCAGACAATACTCAATCACCTACTAATCCTGCTACAACAAAGACACAAATAGGTAGAAATAGATCTATATCAACTCCTTTAAGTGGACCCCTTAAAAATCATGTAAGGAACTTTTCAAATAAAATGCAATCATCTGGAAACTCACCATCTGATTCATCAACCTCAAAAATTCCACAAATAATAACCACTTCACCGAAGAAATCCCAAAATGCAAAATCTGAACCACAATCTGCCGTTGTACAATCAAATCCATATTTTGCATATCAGGGGTTACCTCCTCATATGGCTCAATATACTCATACTACTGGAAACGATCATTCCCAAAAGAGTCAAGCAGATTTATCAGTTGCATTAAGACATAATGATTCCATCTTGTCATTAACCGATTCAGGAGTATTGAAACCACCAAAAGTTGCAAAGAGCCAATTATCATCAAGCGAAGAATCAGAAGGGGATGAAGAAACACAGGCAGCATTCCCAAAAATAGAAGAAGGACAGCAGCAACCAGAAGAATTCCCGAAAAAAACTGAACCTTCCCCAAAGACTCCGAAAAATAAAAGACATCAACAATTATTAAAAGAAGTTGAACTTGATTTAAAACCAATTACAGATGAACATGACTTATCACTACCAGTTTCACCTCTCCAACGTGCATTGAGAAGAGTTGCTTCTGCACCTTTAGTTCATAGATTATTAAACGACAAGCCGCAACAACAACAAAATCATCTCGCCTTATCAGGAGCAAATACTCCGTTCCCATCAACAACGACAACTACAACATCCTCTAAAAAAGAATCACCTCCTATATTCGATATCAATAAACATATAGGTGAAGTGACAATCACAGGTACCAGACCACGTACATATACTCAAGATAGAACCTATTCCAATGCGGCTACAAAGATCCATGAAGCCAAAGTTAATGCCGATTCTTTTGAAAAACTTCGTCTTTTGGGTAAAGGTGATGTTGGTAAAGTTTATTTGGTTCGAGAAAAACAATCAAATCGATTATATGCTATGAAAATCTTAAATAAACGTGAAATGATTGAACGTAATAAAATCAAACGTGCTCTTGCCGAACAAGAAATCTTAGCAACTTCAAATCATCCATTCATCGTCACTTTGTATCATTCTTTCCAATCTCGGGATTATTTATATTTATGTATGGAATATTGTATGGGTGGTGAATTTTTCAGAGCATTGCAAACAAGAGAAACAAAATCCATTTCTGAAAATGATGCTAAATTTTATGCTGCAGAAGTAACTGCAGCTTTGGAATATTTACATTTGATGGGATTTATATATCGTGATTTAAAACCAGAAAATATTCTTTTACATCAATCAGGACATATTATGTTGAGTGATTTCGATTTATCTAAACAAAATGAACGAGCTAAAAATCCAGGTGTAAGTTTTGGTCATAAATCAGGAACAGTTATGAGTGGAATGCATTTAACTTCTTCATCAATTGAAGGACCAAGTATTGATACTAAAGCATGTATTGATGGATTTAGAACTAATTCATTTGTCGGGACAGAAGAATATATCGCACCCGAAGTGATACGTGGTAAAGGACATACAAGTGCTGTTGATTGGTGGACATTAGGTATATTGATATATGAAATGTTATATGGAACTACTCCATTTAAAGGTAGTGATCGAAAGAAAACATTTGCAAATGTACTTAAACGAGAAGTTAAATTTCCTGATTCTCCTCATCCAATTTCATCAAATTGTAAGAATTTAATTAAGAAATTATTAATTAAAGATGAAGAAAAACGTCTTGGATCAAAAACAGGGGCATCTGAAATTAAAAATCATGCTTTCTTCAAAAATACTCAATGGGCATTATTACGTCATCAAAAACCACCAATGATACCGGTTTTAACTAAATCAAATAAAAAACATGAAAATCCTCCTCCAATTGAAGATGAAGATCAACAACCGGACAATAACGCGAAAGATATAAAGGAAATTAAAGTTAAACAAGAAGATAATGAAAATTCGAATAATGATCCATTTGCCAGTTTTAATTCAATAACATTACATTATGGAGAAGATGAAGAAGCAATCACTAGTCCAATGTATAATCCTGAAAGTACAGCATATACCAGTGTTGCATATACTATGACTTCTCAAAATGGAAGTCCGGTTAAATCAAAGGCATTTCTAAAACGATAAAAATGGATATATTTAGTGTTTAGATAAAAAATGTATAAAATGATTGTTGTGTAATATTGTCTCTCTTCCTTATAAATGGTTGCGAAAATAATGCTTAAGTATTTTTGCCGCTACCAAATATTATCACGTGATCGTTAACCAACCAAATCTCAAAGAATTTTTCTTAGTCCATTTTTCAGTTCATGAAAAAGACACTGTTTATTCAAAGTAACCAAATCCCCAGATACACATCAATCAAAACAATGGCAGCTCATCATATTGCAAAATACATTCGCCATGCACCACCTGTCAAGGCCCATACTAGTAAGTCAATAATATATTTATCCAAAGCATTGGGTGCTACTATGTGGTTTACAATTTTTTACAGAGTTAAAGAAGATGGTGCTGTTATGTTTGGGTTTAAGTTACCAACTGAATAGACGCATGTTTATATTCTTACTTTGCATTCATTTCATTCAATTCAGATTCATTTGAGTTAATCTTGTATAAGGTATTTATATTAATAAAAAGATTTATTTATACAAAAATTTACGTACCCCGTGATGGACGACCAGGTCCATCACTTCCACTGCTACTACTTCCACGCCCTCCCCGTCCACGGATGTTTCTATATCCTCCTGAGCTTCCACGACCTCGATACAGACCCCTACTTCCTCGAGGTGCCCAACCATTACCGCCACCGCCACCTCCACGGCTTCCTCCTCGGTAAGAACCTCGATATGGTTTATTGTATATGGTTCCAGAACGGGGTTTTTCATCTGTTTCTTCGTCAACATTACTTCTTTCTAAACTACTGGCTTCTTCTTCTTCTTGGTTGTTCTCTTGTGGCGTTGTTGTTGTTCTCTTTTCCGATTCAATGTCATCAGATATTTCTTGTTGTTGTTGTTTTGTTTTGAAACCAAAATTAAACCCCTGACTATTACAATAATCTAATTTGAAATTACCATATTGATCAAATTTGAATATCATTATATTGTATTGATTCTCTTCTTCATGTTGAGACGGTCTATGATCACAAAGATTAAAATGCCATAAATTATAATATGCTTGGAAATAACAATCATTTAAACGTTTAACTACCTTTTTATTTATTTCATCTTCATTTTCATCATCTGGTGATAATGTCAATTGTACGATTTTATCATTTGTATCATTTACTATAATTGGGATCTTATCAAATAAACTTAGACCTAATTCAATCAAATTCTTTAACCCTGGAACTTCTGTAGTACTTAATAAATCCATTAAATCATCTTTTATAACTACCCATAATTCCCCCAAAATCATACGAAGTCTTGAGAATTTCCCTCGGTAATTCTCAACATATCCTGCTGAACCTCCCATACTATCAACAAAGCTCATACCATTACCCATGACAGGATATCTGAAATGTAGTCCCTGACTAATTGTGAAATCAGCATGGGTAATGATTGCCAAATGTTCTAACAATGGTGTTTTAATAACTGGGGCATGAGTCACAAAAATGTTTATTGTATTGCTATTGATTGAAGGGGTAAAAGTATTACTAAATTGAAGATAAAATTCGGCAATTTGTAATAATGAAATCCATAATTCTCCAATCTTACCACAAACATCTTCATATTCAAGATTTCCTCTATCAAAAAGATTATGAATTTTAACTGTACCTCCAATTCCATAAATTCTTAAATTTGGTAAATTAGGAATTGGAGTTTCTATTTCATAATTATTCTTATGATCAATTAAGAATAGATTAGGAATTTCATATTGTCTTGTTTGAATCTTATTTATAATTCTAGGATCATCAAGAGGACCAAATATAGTATAAACTGGACATGGTAATGTTTTAATCCCTTCTAGATATTGTTGGAATTGACTTATTGGAGTTTTAGATTGTAATAATAATGATTTGAATTTAACTAACTCTTCATTACCATTGATGGAAGAGTCGTTGCTACTAACTATTGTACTTTGATTATTTAATTCTTCAACTAAATTTGAATCTAATAAATCCAGAAATGAAATAATTTGTTTTAAATAATTTAATTCATGAGTTAATTCAATTGTTTGTTTATCCCAAAATCCAAAATTACCAGTATGAATTATTAAATCTATTGCACGACCTTGTTTAATCTCTTGATTATATAATTCTGTTAATGAATCAACATTACCTTGAATATCAGAAATTGTTAATATTCGAAGTGAATTAATAGTTGTTGTCATTTTTACTTTGGACGCCTTTCTTTCTCTCTTTTGATATCTCTCAGTTTTATTATTAGTAAGTTAAGGTACTTCTTATCCTGTGTTTCTTGTTGTCTTCAATTGTATTCTGGATGCTAAGCTAAAACCCCGTTTGTTGTATCTAAGGTTATATGCTTAACAACATGTGGTTTAAATTAGATTGGTCAAAAAAAAAGAATCAAGAACTTTAAATATCTTTCAAATCTTCAATTTAAATTAAAACATTCATTTCAGAAACAATATTCATTTATTCCTTCTTGTAATAATCACCATATCATAAAGATTATCTGAATTCATTTGTTTGGGAAAATATATAAGTTAGTTCAGCAACACGCTCACACACTCACCCTCAGCTTTACCAAATCATGCGATAATGTTAGATCCACTGCAAAGACTACGAAATGCTGTCATTGATGGCAACCTTGCCATTGTGAAACGTCTTCTATCAAGATTCCCCGAGCTTTGGTTAAACAACGACCCTCATAATCAAGGATGGTCAAATCTCCATTATGCATCCTATTATGGACATTATTTAATTTGTTTTCATTTAATTTCATATATAAATAAAACAATTGGTAAAATAACTAATAAATATGCCATGGTAGATTTAGTAGCATTTGATGAAATAACGGTATTACATTTATGTACTAAAATGAAACATTTTCAAACTTTACATTATTTATTACAAGAATTCCCCGGTAAAATGTGGTTGAATTCTACTGGAGGAGAATTTAAACAAACTCCATTACATTATAGTTGTATTTATGGGTTTAAAGAAGGTACCAAATTATTATTAGAATTTGGAGCTAAATGGAATATGGTTGATTCAAATGGAGATAGTTGTTTACATCATTGTTTCCAATATGGGAGTTTTGGATGTATGGAAGCATTACTTAGATTCATTGCAATTGAATGTAAAGATAAAGAAAAAGCTAGAAAGAAGATTCATGAATTTGAATCAATCAAGAATAATAAAAATTGGGTAGCATCTCATTATGCATTAACTTTTGATTTGGTAAATCAATATAAGAAATTAAAACAAGATATCTTAGCAATTGACTTTGAAGAAACGTTGTCGATCTTAGATAGTCCATCACATATATCCCTTGCAAGAATGATTAGCGAAGTGCCTTCTTCAGGTATCTCATTATTAGAAGAGAATAAAATATTGGCTAGTCCGATATTACCAATGTCACAAAGTCAAGACAAAGGACAAGTTCAAGAAGATCAAGAAGAATCGCCTAGTCCTATTGATACAATCAATCCAATAATACCATTTTATGAATCAATAGTCCCTAGAAATGATACAATTACTACAGATAGTGAGACGTCACTACTGTCCTTAGTACAGAAAGATACGGTTGCTGGGAAAAGACAACATTCACGATCATTACCGACACAGGATAAACCAAGACCTCCACCATTGACAATACGAACTCGTTCTAATACAACTCATTCTTTACGTTCTGGAAATGTACTAAAATCACCAACCTCAAATGTCACACCAAGAATAAATTCAACTATGCAATTTTCATCTTCGGGAACTGGTTCCTCAATTACTCCTACAATGAGTCGCAATACCCCTTCTCTCAAATCATTAACAATTTCTCCGTCGGTAAGAACAACAGCATCGTCACAAGAACCAATCTCACCCCAATCTATTGCCTCGTATTCTATTCCCGGTGACTCACCCACCAGGCAACAAGTGAAAAAGAATTTACAAAAGAAGACAAGCGTATTGAATAATGACCATGATCAATGGCCATCATTTCATCCTGAGATTCCATCATATATGCAATCATCTACCAATGCTTCCAGCAGTCATAGCCATCATCGACCTCGGGCATCTTCAACATCTTCAATCGCCGCCAAAGTTGCCTTCAGTTCTAGTCGAGCATCTCCTTCTGGCGGGGCAGGTGAAATCGGCAGTCCACTCAGAAGGGCAGTTCAACGTCGGGCAACTTCAGAAGCTTCCTCCACGACAATTAATAGCATACTGGCTGGATCTACTCCGGGACATTCGCCAAAAGGAAAAAGTTTACTTGAGAGTCCATCTAATGGGAGTTTGGCTAGTCGAGAAAATAGCATAGATGAGCTTCAGACATCTCCGTTAAAGATTGTTACCGGTGTCGATGAACGGTTTTCTCCTGGTCTTGTTCCATCTGCTAGTTCTATTAGTGAGAGTAATCGAGGGTTTAGTGTCAATAGTATAAATTTCAATAGAACTAGATAAGTGTGTTATATATTTATATGTATTAATTTATTAAATAGCGGGGGGTCTATAATTCTGGGTTCAACCCAAAGAAGTCTATACAAATCTTATTAAATACCTTTGGATTATCTAAATATACATGATGTCCTGCGCTTTCGATAATTTCAAACTGGGCTAAATTAGGATCATGTTCACATATCTTTTCGTATATATGTTTCCCACCGTTCAGATTCATCCAATCATGATCTCCATAAACCCAAAGACTCTTCACATTTGATGTCACCAAATAATCCACTAAACCTCGATCATAAAGAGGTAAACGGGCCAATATTTCATGATTTATGAATTTTGTAATTGCCAATTCTCCTGATAATTGATATTGATTGAATATAGAATATGAATAATCGTGTAATTTTAAAATCAATGAAGAATCGGGATCATCTGTTGTAGATACAAGATTTTTAAATCTTTGAAATGACCAATATGAAAGAATTTTAGAATAAAAAGGTCCTAATTTTTGAAGAATATCAAATGGAGTTTTATTATTTTGCCATAATGTCTTTAGAATGATGTTTTTAGGAAATCTGGGTTGACCAATCATTGTCCAAAATTGCTGCAATTCCTCAGTGATTGGTTGTTCTTCTTCAAACACTTCTTTAAATGGATCACCTGCTGGTTCATCATGATTAAGTGGAGTTTTCCTATTGCCATTTAATAATAAACTATTATGACTAGATTCTGTTCCCATTGGACTTACAATCACGACTTCATCAACTAATTTTGGTTGCTTATTATATTTCATTAGGTAACAACAACCCAAATATGCACCCATAGAATGGCAAATCAATTTAAATTTATCAATTCTTCTAACCAATCTCCATTGTTCAATTCTATCTATAAACCAATTTTCAATCTTTAAAATCTGACCAATCTTTTCCAGAATAGTGTTTGGTTCACTCAAGAATTCGTTAGGAAATGAAGGTCTCAGAGAATTACCAAAACCTGGTAAGTCAATAATATGAATCCTTATACCTGGAGTATAGATTAATGGGACTATATTGTTTATGAAATATCCCAGGGCTGCCATATATCCATGAATAATGACTATATGTTTAATTTCAACATCTGGGGGGTTGGTGTTATTTTCAAGTGAAAATTCATGAATAATGAATTGATTATTTAATTTTATATCTAATAATTGTCCAAATATTGCGGATGGTTGATTTGGTATTACTTCATTTGGTTTATAAATATGGATATCATTTGGAAGTAATTTCAAATATAATTCATATTCAATCATTCTATTTTTAAACTTTGCATTTTTAATTTCTGGTGATTCAATGTTATCTTCTTGTTCTTGTTCATTAATAGCCAATGGCGGTGGTGGTGGTTGTTGTGAGAGATATGAAGAGGAAGAATTCCACCAATCTTGGAAAGATTTATAAAAGGAGATTGAAGTTGTTGTAGAACTAGTAGAAGTTTGAGATGAAGTGATTGATATTTGAGATGATGATTCAGACATTGTAGAAGATTCACTCATAATGTCATTGATTGAAGTCATTCTTTTGGTAGTTGGTTAACAAGCAGTATTAGTTGTAGCAGTTGTAGTAGTAACAATAACCATCAAAAGAAGAAAGAGAGAGAGAGCAATTTAGATCTTAATAAATTTAGATTGGATCAATTAAGGTATTGTTCTTATCAAATTGCTTGGAACGTGGGGCATCTC